CTGGGGTTCCGCAGAACACCAATTGGGGTTCCGCCAAAAGTTAAAAAAATAAAATGGGCACACGCGTCACTCTGGCATCACTAAGAGGCGCGGGAAGGAGCTGAGCAGGGAGATCACTGCTCCCTCGCCACCTGAACGCCAGCTGCTCAGCAGCCCCACTGGACCCCAGGGACTGCACGCTCAGCACGCCAGCCGCTTAGCTGCCCCACTGGACCCCAAGGACTTCATGTCAGCACTCCTAAAGGTAGGACAAAAAATGTATGTGTGTCTGTTAGGGAGTTTGTATGTGTTTGTGTGTCTGGCAAAGCGTATATGTGTGTTTGTCAGTGAGAGTGAATGTGTGCTTGTCAGTGAATGTGTGCTTGTCAGTGACTGTATGAGAGTGTATGTGTTTGTCAGTTTGTCAGTATGTGTTTGTCAGTTTGTCAGTGTGTGTGTTTTGTCAGTAAGAATGTATCTGTTCTTGTCAGTGAGAGTGTATATGTGTTCGTATGTGTGTCTGTCAAAGAGTATGTGATGAGATACACACTGACACAGAGATACACACACTGGCGCATACAAACACAGATATACACACCCCGGCACATAAAAAACACAGACACACACACTTTGAAACATAGATACACACATCTTGACACACCTTGACTTTTTTTTTAATTGAGCCTGTGTGAATCACAGCCAGAGGAGGAGTGGCCAGGGCTGCGTAAAGTGATTTAACCTCCCTCCCCTCCCCCCCAGCGCAAGGGTAGCCAAAAGGTAAATCCCCATCCCCACAGAAATACACACACTGACACACGCATAGTTACACACAGATACATATACACAGTTACTCCTGTAACATACCTTTTGTGGTTTCCTTGGTTCCTGTTGGTGTCTGAAGCTGATGGGAGTGGGGGACTGGTTGGAGTAGTTTTTTCCTTGCAGTTCCTTTAGTCATATTTTATTCATCTGAATTGTTTGTTTTAGTTTAGTTTTAGTCGACAATCTCATAAATTTTAGTCAACTGAAATTTGACTAAAATTGTTAGTCGACTAAATTAACTCTGGTTAATATACACTGTTGTTCTAAGGTTATAGAGTCACCTAAGAAAATTAGGAATTATCCAACAATCCAGTCTTAATTAAATGTGTCTCTGGTAAACTGAAATGTATGGTGGCATTTTCTATATCTTCTTAGGAAGTCAGCTCTCCCCAGGGTCAGACTTACCAGAGGACAGAGTAGGCAGCTGCCTACCTGCGCATGTCTGAAAGGGGAGCTGCAGCGTCTTCTACCTCTGCTGCCACCCAAGGTGAATTTGTGTAATGTGCCCATGTGAGCAGGAATCATAGTTGATAGGTAATAGGAAGATGAGGGTATCCAGACATTATTATTTTATTATTTATATAGCGCCATCAGATTCCATAGCGCTGTACAATGGGTGGACTAACAGACATGTACTTGTAACCAGACAACTGGCATCATGGCTTTCATGTAACTGAACAGGCAAAGTGCTGAGGGCTGAATGGCCACCTTGCATATTGTACTGCCTTGTTGCCAGCTATTCTTCCCGACATAGGTATGTGAAGTGGCTTGGAAGCAACCCAAACAATGCTCTACATATATAACCTGTGTACACTTAAACACACTACATGCGTGAATTCACATTACACTATACATGCATACATTCAAATTACACACGCCATGCATGGATTCACATGACACTTTACATGCATAAATTCACAATATACATTACATGCATAAATTCACAATATACATTACATGCATGGATTCACATTAAACACTCCATGCATACATTCACATTACACACTCCATGCATACATTCACATTACACACTCCATGCATACATTCACATTACACACTCCATGCATACATTTACATCGTACACCACGTGCATGTATTCACAGTACAAACATGTATATACATTCACATACTAAATACATTCACAGGCTGCATAAATATTTTTCTAAAACAATTTAAACATTTTTTTTATAAATACAAATGCATGAGATGTAAATCCTGAAAATAAACATTGAAGTAATGCTTCTTGTGATAGCTATGGTTCACTGACTCTATAGTCACAAGTGTTTCGAAAAATAAATAGATGATTTGCAATATCTTAAGCTGCAGGAATTGCCATTAATCTTTAAGTTGCTTCTGAATCAAACAGGGTCCCTCCATGAAAAAAAATAGCCTCTATAGATTTAGAATATCTTATCGTACTGTACATGCTGCAAACCAAGCAGGTAAATGGAAATGCAGGCTACTATGCAATGATGCAAAGTTGTTATGGTGACCCTTTAAGATTAGTATAAACTCAGAGGCACCTTGTGAAAATGTCTGTGAATTGACCCTTTGTCATGACATTTGGATGAGAAAATGAATCAGACTGTAACCTTTTGCTTAGATAATTGATTCTGTATTAACATTCAGTATCAGGAACACTGATAAAAAAAAGAAAAGAAAAATTAGCATCTGCTGGTCAAATATAGTGTCTTCCATTGCTGAATGTAAAGTGAAATCTTACTCATTATCTTTGGAGGGACATATAGACTTCACAGAAAAATGAAATTACTATCACTACATCTTATTGAACCTTTATACTATTGACCTTTCTATAAGGTTCAATGTAGCTAACTCAATTAAAGAAACACTGTCCAATATTTCCTGTTTCTCTACACTATTGCATTTAATAATAGAAAGACTCAATTTGATTTTGCTAAACTGAACACCTAGGTAACTTTTGCTGTGCGTATATATTTAAGCACTGTTATACTTCTCTATACTGGATCGATCCATAATTCCATTACTTCCTGTTATTTTTCCCAATACCTTTAAAGCATTTGTTGAAAACATGGTTTGCAGCTTCTGCAGAGAACGCTCCACATGAAAAAAAAAAAAAAAAGATTGGTCAGTTTTGGCTGGGCCTCCCATTGTTTACCATGGACTGGTCAGTATATTCCACAACTATTGCCCAACAAAGATTTATGGGATATGTAGGTTAGAACTCAGTTTAATTTATGAAAGACATGATTAAAGTTAACACACAAGTTATGAGAATTTGCAGTGTAACTTATATTAGCTCTCAAAATAGCTCAGTTAATACTTTTTCATTCAGAGATCTATCAATTCTGCCAGAGGTATTGGAAGCTCATATGGAGTTTGCATACTCTGTCTACCATTGTTAATTTTGGCAGCAAATTTCTATTTAGTTTTAGTCATGGTCTAAAAAGCCATTTTAGTTTTAGTTGGGTTTTAGTCATCTGAATTGTTTTATTTTTAGTCTAGTTTTAGCCAACTAAATCTCGAGTCCACATGACTAAAATCTCATGGGTTTAAATAAAGCCTCTATCTGACTCGTTTGCCCCTCTATGTCTCTTTGTGACTTCCCTCAGCTCCTCTAGGTGTCTCTCTCCCAAGCCCTGGTCTGTCTCTTTTGGCCCTTCCCCAGCCCTTCTGTGCAATGTTGACGGACTATGACTAAAACTAAATGTATTTTTAATTTTAGTCAGTCTTTTTACTAAAATGCCATTTTAGTTTTAGTCATCTGAATTGTTTTACTTCTAAAATTGCTAGTCAACAAAATTAACACTGATTTCTGCACACTCTGTACCGCTAGTACGGGCAAGGAGATTATTTGCAAATCACTGAATTTATAAGCAACAGAGTGCAGGGAAACGTAGACAGGAGAGTACAATACTACTAATCTATATTTTATATCAGACATCTGCTGTGAGAAACAGCTGTCAGATGTAAAATAAAAAAATATTAATATCCTTCTGACCCCTCTATCAAGTGTAGCGATCCACGTCTAAAGAGTCCTGCATCTGGGTATTTCGCCACCAAAACTCACACCTTCCAACACCTATGACAGCATATATGCATTCTTATATGGCAGATCAACATATAGATATTGATATAATGCACAATCTAAACATTTTGTCAGAATGTTATTTAGTCAAACTTCATGTAAAATACAAAACAAAACAAAAAACAATTATAGCAAAATATGTATGATACATTTTAAGCAGTATGTATTTTATACACTAAAAAAAAGTAACATAGGCACTAATAATTAAAGGACCACTATAGTGCCCTGAGGGTGCCCCCACCCTCAGGGACCCCCTCCCGCCCGGCTCTGGAAGAGGGAAAGGGTTAAAATCTTACCTTTTTCCAGCACTGGGCGGAGAGCTCTCCTCCTTCTCTCCTCCCCCGTTCCTCCTCCTGGGCTGAATGCGCACGCGCGGCAAGAGCTGCGCGCATTCAGCCCGTCGCATAGGAAAGCATTTACAATGCTTTCCTATGGACGATTGCGTGCTCTCACTGTGAAAATCACAGTGAGAAGCACGCAAGTGCCTCTAATGGCTGTCAATGAGACAGCCACTAGAGGATTAGGGGGAAGGCTTAACCCATTCATAAACATAGCAGTTTCTCTGAAACTGCTATGTTTATAAAAAAAATGGGTTAACCCTAGAAGGACCTGGCACCCAGACCACTTCATTAAGCTGAAGTGGTCTGGGTGCCTAGAGTGGTCCTTTAAATAACAATATTCTCCACTGCACCTAACACTGTGTTAAAGCAACACTATAACAAACTTGGTTTGGGTTGCACTCTCCCCAATCTTTTTATTAATCAGATATTCTCTGTTCTGTTTTACGTTTTTGTTTTTTTTAAGTACAATTCTGAATGTGTATATATAAATCTCAATGTATGCCTTTACAGCAGTATTTTTGCACAGTTAAATGCTAGCCTTCCATGTTTCTTTCTTGCCCTTTTTGGTTTATTCTTTCATCCTTTTCTCTCTTTTTTGTTTTTTAAAGAATTCAACCATCAGCAGGTACAGCAACAATGATAAATAAGAGTAGTAGATAACAGTGCAATATTGTTATACCAGCGCACATATTTATGAAGCAGCTACTCTACACCCGTGAAAAACGTCATATTTCTCCTTCAATGGATTGGACAGACAAGTTTAGGACTGGAAACTGTAACTATATTTTGTTTTATAATAAAATAAATATAGAAACCTTGAGGTTAAAATGCTATAAATGGTATGCCACTAAAACTTTCTTAATTGATATGGTAAGTATATTTATATATATACATTTGTGTGTGTGTGTGTGTGTGTGTATGCAGGGCCGGATTAACATAGGGGCTGATGGTGCTGGAGCTCCAGGCCCAGGCCCATGGAATAGGCCCATAAAAAAAAAAATTACCTTTTTTTTTTTTTTTTACACACTATTCTTAGGTCTGCAACCTGACTGGTATTTTAAGGCACAGCCAGCATTTGAGGCTGCAGGGCCGTGACAGTATTGCAGTAATACCGGCAATACAAATGCAAATATTTTTCTCAGTATAAACGGAGATTACGTTGCAATACCAACACCGGCCAGTAGGAGTCACTGTGTATGGAGAGAGGGAGGGATAGGAAGTTACATCATCTACCTGCCTCTTTCTACTCACTGATCCGCGGGGGAGCAGCTACACATCACAGAGAGTCTAGACAGCAGCTCCCAGCCTGCAGAGACAGACTACAGCTCAGGTATGTGAAGGATGGGGGGAAAGGCAGCAGGGAGACATGGGGACACTGAGACACTAGGGGACACATGGGGACACTGAGACACTAGGGGACACTGGGAAACATGGGGACAATGAGACACTAGGGGACACTGAGACATGGGGACACTGAGACACATGGGGACGCTGTGACACATAGGGAGACACATTGGGACACGGAGATACTTGGGACACAGTGTCCCCATGTGTCCCAGCCAGTGTCCCTAGTGTCTCAGTGTCCCAATGGCTCCCAGTGTCCCCTAGTCTCCCAGTGTCTGTGTCCCCATTTCTCTCAGTGTCCCCATGTCTCAGAGTGTCCCCAAATGTCTCCTATTGTCCACGTGTCTCTCATTGTCCCCATGTCTCTCAGTGTCCTCATGTCTCAGAGTGTCCCCAAATGTCTCCCAGTGTCCACATGTCTCCCAGCCAGTGTCTCAGTGTCCCCATGTCTCCCAGTGTCCCTATGTCTCTCAGCCAGTGTCCCTAGTGTCTCAGTGTCCCCATGTCTCCCAATGTCCCCAAATGTCTTAGTGTCCCCATGTCTCCCAGTGTCCCCATGTCTATGTCCACAAGTGCTCCCATGTCTCCTGGTGTCCCCAAGTATCTGTGTCCCCATGCCTCCCAGCTAGTGTCTGTGTCTCCATGTCTCCCAGTGTCCCCTAGTCACCCAGTGTCTGTGTTTCCATGTCTCTCAGTGTCTCTAGTGTCTTAGTTTTACCAAATGTCTTTGTCCCCATGTGTCCCAGTGTCTGTGTCCCCATGTATCTGTGTCCCTAGTGTCTGTGACCCCATTTCTCCCAGTGTCCTCAAATGTCTGTGTCCCAGTGTCCCCATGTCTCTCAGTGTCCCCATGTCTGTATCCACAAGTGCCCCCATGCAGGGCCGCCATCAGGGCATGACAACCGCAACGGTTGTCATGGGCCCGGCGATCCTGGGGGGCCCGGACTGCTCAGGTTGTCAGGCCCGTCCGGGCCCCACATTCAGTGGGTACATACCGGGTCGCAGGGGGCCCTGCGACCTGGTATGTACCCACAGGGCCAGCCTCTTCTCCTGGGGGGCCCAGCAGCCGGTCACCTCAGGGCCCCCCAGAGGCTGGCCCTGCTGACACCCGGCGGGCGGGCGCGTGAGGAAGCACACAGAGAGTGCTCCCT